GGGACAAATCCAACTGGATACTTCTACTAATTTGGACGTACTAAAGTTACATTTGAAGTCCCTGGGAAATCGTGAGAAAATCAAAATACCTACTTACACATACAATAATTATTCTTCTTGGTACTTGAAAAAACTTGACGTTCGATGTTTATTTCGTATATGGAGCAATTTGATTATCAAGAATGTCAATATGTCCATTGAAAAAACCAGCAACTAAATTTTGAATATTGTTATTTTACCTCATTAAGTTTTGTTCTTTAAATAGTTCTTGAAGAATTTCATTTATAATTTACATGTACATTATAAAATATAAACGTTAGAGAATTATTTTCATTTATTTATTACAAAACTTATATAAATTATACTCCTTGATAATAATACTTTTATTTAGTATTAATTTTACAATGATGTTTTTTTTGGGCCCATCATCACCTTTTGGAGCAGTAAAATGATTCGATTCTCTTCTTCAGCATCTTTTCTGGTAGGAAAGTGAATTTAGTTGGTATTTCGGGGATCAAAGGTAAAAAATTCCCAGTAGTTTTCAAAACTCAGGTAAAATCAAAAATAATTAAAATCTGAATATTTTACACAAAACTACCTAGTTTTCGAAAAAATCTTTTGTTTTTTGATGTACCTACCTAACTAAAAAAAATAAATGTGGATAAATGCAATATTCACCGAATGTTTATATTGGAATTTTCTGTACCTACTCCATAAAATTTTGAATCTTTTTTAGTTATGTATATAGGTATGAAAATGTAATACAATAGGTTCATCATAAATTGTTATAATAGTAGTTGAGATATGAATGGTAGGTAGATATTTTTGCTTTTGCTATTATTAGTTGTTCTTACAATCTTACCTACCAGTGGCATATATACAAATTATTTTCACTATGGGCCAATTTATGACTAGTCAGCATAGCGCGTCAAACGGACTAACATAGCCATAACTATACATTTTTTAAGGTGCAGGGTGTTTATAAGTACTAATAAAAATTGCTCAAATTAAATTTTATAATTATTATGTGAAATTCATTTTTAATTCTTTTTTTAAAAATATAGATAATTTCGTATATACATATATATTTTAATGTTATCTTATTGTGAATTTAACACATAAAAGTCATCAAAGCAAGTCCTGACAATCTAACATTTCCTTGTTGATTCCTCAAAACGATTTTAATCAACCGGCTAAATTAATCATGGTGAAAAACTGTAAACAGTGTATATATACATAAAATGGTTTAATTGTACCTGCAATTTCACTATGGGCTCTGGCCTAGGGGGCCTCCCCCCTATATACGCAATGGCGTCCGCAGGGTGGGCTTAAGGGCTAAAGCCCCCCCATTAGCCGTATTATTATTACTTTTTCAAAAAAATATTAATTTAGTTAAACTGTCAACTATAGTAAGCAAGACGTAAATTTCAAATATGTCTTACCAGAATGAATTCATTTTTGAAAAAACATTGTATTTGTAACATACCAATTTTCATAAATTATCTGTAATTTTTAGGTAAAAGTATGAACTGTTTGTATGAAAGACCTTGTATTAAATTGTCTAGCCTTAGCTATACACATTTAATATTAAATAAGTTTTGAACTACAAATTAACTGTGGTTTTGACAATTTGAACTTTAAATGCTTATAAAAAATAAGCATGATGCCTATGTATCGTTAATATTTTAGCTATAATAAAAAGTATTACATTTTTAAGCTTTTTGACCGAATAAATAATTTTTTATTGACATTTATAGAAAAAAAAAAATTTAATTATTCTAAAACAATCCAAGTGAAGACGGTATAACCAAACATTTAAATAAATTTTCATTTTTTTTTCTCAAATTATTTTTAAAAGCACTGAGCATTTTTAATTTCAACCTCCTAATAGTACCAACTAGATCCAATTTGCTTCCAAAAACATACACCGGGCATCATCGAAGCTTATCATAATGACCAGATCAGAGCATTTTTTCCTCCCAGAAAAGTTGAAAAGTTACAAACATTTTAAAATACCTCAAATAAACGTCTGAAATTATTAGACTGGACAAAATGAAAAGAAAATTGTAACTAATTTTCAAGCCTCCCCCATTGAAAAATCCTGCGGACGCCACTGTTACCTACTACATGCCCATCATTACATGATTCTATTTTTGGGTTTTCTCATTGTTTAAGATGTAAAACTCCAGACTAACAATGAATATTAATTAATATTAAAATCATGGTATTATAATACGTATTACTAAACGTGTTTTCTATGTATTAGATGAAAAAAAAAAATATTTTAAATTTTCAAATATTTTTTTGGTTCATTTAAATAAATTATCTAGATAAGTACTCATAGATAACTAGAATTTTATCTAGATGAAGATAAAGATAACCGAGTAGAAATTTATCTAGATAAGATAAAAGATAAATAATTTTTATCTAGATAAATTTATCTAGATATTTCCCAACACTGGATATAATAAAGATATTTAGGCTATGCCACTATAGGCACAATTTTTTTTACAAGTCTTCAAAGTTCAAATTTTTACAAAATTCATCAGAATTCAAAATCTTGAAAATGTGCAAGTTATTTTGTAGGAAAATGTAGAAAATATTAAAAACATGTTCAATTTTTAAAAACAAAAATATGTCCATAACGGTGGAACCGAGGAGTGGAAAATTATAAAACTGATCATTGTAATAATTGAGTGTGTGTATTAAAACATATATTTCAACAAGCAAAACGGAAAACGATAGAAAGATCGATTAATCTTGAATTCTTAACCCGTGTGAAGTCGGGCAATACAACTAGTTAATAATAAAACTACAGTTTACTCATGTTGTATATTATTTACTTCATACACTAAATAAAATAAATTCAACTACCTACAGGAAAACAGATTCATCATTTTTGACAGGAGTAAGATAATCGAAATTAAATTTCCAGTATAAAAACAATATTAATTGAATTCTGTACCTAATTGTTTGCAGTATTAAAAATGTAATCATAAATGTAGCTATTTAAAACATATAATATTTTTAAAAATGAATAATATTATAGGTAATAATAATAATACTATAATAATATAATATACTATATGATACTATCGTAGTAATTTATGCTATCATAATAATAAAGATACTATCGTAGTAATTTATGCTATCATAATAATAAAACAAAATTTCATATCGATACTCTACGCCTAGACGTGAGCGCTGCGTAAAGCGCATGGCTTTGCCAGACTTCGTCGGGAGGAAACTAAAGGCCGCAGGTCTGTTGGCTGCGAGAAAGCTCCCCAATATCAAAATATATTGCTTACGGTACACTTCACCTGAGCGAGTGATACAAATTTGCTACTATTATATTTAAAAATCTAAAGAAGGCGTAAGTAAAATATTTAATAAAACATTGTAGTTATTAACTATTTATTTTGATTTTAAAACTATTTAGTATATTTCACTCATAAATTAATGAATTAATTCATATTAAATTAATTTAATTTGGATGATTAATATAGCGGACAGTTTAATTTTGTCCAAAATTAATGTTGTAGTTAAATACGTTGAATTTTTCTTTGAATAACTCTGTGAAATATTTAAAAGAATTGAGTTCAAATTATTTTGAATTAGAGTTATTATAAATGTAAATGTTTTTAAATTCAATTTAATCCATTTCGGATAAATTGTAATAATATTTTATAGGGATATAATTCTAATATTATAATTTACAGTAAATTATGACTATAATAATTTATAACTTATACTTCTAAAAAAAAATACCAAAATAGTCGAAAACTTTTCATTGTTTCAATTGCCTAACAATATTGCATAATTACATAAACTCCATCGAAAATATTTACAAAGACCATGTGCACTATAGTATATAATACGATATTTATTTTTTTATTATTATTTATAACTGTCTCTTAATAATTATAATTACCATAGTGATTTTAATTTTCCATTTTTATTTGGGATGAAGATAAACATTAAGGATTCATTACCATACCTATTTTAGTAAAACAAACAGTACGAAGAAATAAATTTTTTTGAATAAGTAAGTTTTAATACCTAGCTAATTTAAATCAGGGGTGCATGTACATGTTACCCGCGCGTAGGCCTGTAGCGGAAATTTGTCGCCCTAAATAAGTAAATTAATAATATAATATACTGCACTAACTAAATTGTCATTTAGCCTATTTTCTATTATACTATTATAGCAGTATACCTACATAACATATTTTACAATAACGAAAAACTGTATAAGTGTAACCTTAATAAATTTGCCTCCCCTTACAATTTTCCGCTGCATTAGGAACGTGCCTATAGTGCCAGCATTATAAATAAGTCATTAAGTTTAATAATCTGCAAATGATCATGTGGATAAATAATAAATATAAATATCTATTATAATTAATATAATTAATCTAATATTTAAAAATAAATCCAAAATAATTTGTACGGTAAAATATTTTTATTGATAGTTATTTTGATTTGGAATTATTAAAATTTGAGGAATACAAATAAAACTTATACAAATAATTAACAACTTTATGTAGGTACTTTGAGCTGAGGATCACTATGGTTGTATGATTTAAAAGCAATATTTCAATACTTTTACTAGGTTTACAAAAACTTTCGTATTTTATAAAGATACATATATTTTAATAACACAATATCGGTAATTCATATTTATTTAGACAAAATTGTATTTGAAAATAATACGAGTCAGGACTTTTTGATAATAATTTGTGTGTTACAAACATGAAAAAATAAATAATAATTATTCTGTTCGACTTGTAAAATGTTATTATATTTTTAGGAAATTAATATATTATTTTAAATTTAAATTTCTTAAAAGGTTAGTTTGATGACATGTACAAAGATATTTAATCGTAGTCCATAAATATTTGTTTAAAAATTTAAATCGTTTGTAAAATTTAATATATAAAATTCAGGAACTGCTATTTTAAATTTATCAAAAATTTAGATTTGTATCTTTATACGTCAACATGGATCCCGCAGTATTAGCCAAATTGGAAGATGGTTGGTGTTCATTAAACTGCTCTGACAGCAAATCTTTGCTAAAGAAATATCTGACAAAAGAGGTATTAGATGACTTAAAGAACAAAAAGACCAAATTTGGATCCACACTTTTGGACTGTGTGCAATCTGGTAAGACTACGTTCAAAGTAAAACATAATATTATTTTATCATTTTAATTATGAAATACGTAGGTGTAATAACGTGATAGTATAAAATAACAAAATGTAATAACTATATGTTAAGTATTTAATAATCATACGTATTGATCACGTATCATACGTACCTATTGAAGTTACAATATTTATAAAAATTTAAATGTACAAAAATCATAAGTTAAATATATTTATATTATTATATTTTGCAAATGCAGAATGATCGTAGTTATGATGAATATCTACACGAATAATAGTCTATAATAAATAGTTTAACCTGTGTCCTGTATAGTAACTATATGGCATGATTAACTTTAATTTTATCAAATTACAATAATTTTAAACAACGTTTAAGACTCAATATTCTTCATTACTATAGTTTAAACTGAAATAAATATTTCACCACGGTTAATATATTTAAATATCCTTTCTGCGTAATAAATAAAGAAGAGTTCAAAACAAAATTTTAAAAAGTAGTTTTTTGGTTTTATAATAATTCATAACTAATTTGTTTTAAAAATTGTTTAGAATTGTTTATGATATAATGTATAATAGAAATGTTATAAGTAACATTATATATTGAAACATATAATATAATCGCATAGCATTTCTTTCAACTATTACATTTGTTTGCAATGAAGAATTATGTGTTAACTATGGTTATTTTATTGTATTCAATAGGCAACCCTTCAAATAATATAGTAACATTTTATGTTTTTAATACTTTGGTAAAAAAATATTTTTTCTACATTCTATACTATAATTTGCTTGACGCTTTTATCTTTGTTAAATGTACTATACGTATTGACGTATTGTATGATCTTTAAACATATCGTAAATTCTATTTTTCTAATAAACACGTTAATAAATTTTTCAATTAAATTGTACAACAATCAAAGTGTAGTGGGAAGTTTTTAAAATAAATAAAAAAAATTGTGATTGTACATAAAATAGTTACCTATATTAGTTATTAATTATTAATTTTAGTTGAATAACTATAAAAATAATAAAGTAAGTATACAAATGTAGCCTAGTTCACAAATTATAGGTACAATATTCTACAGTTTTTTATTATATAAGAAATATTTACAGGTTATAATTTTCAATTACTTTTGTTTTTACAAATTGGAGTAAGTATAATGGTCTGTATAATGGTAAAATAATTTTTTTTGTGTTTGACGCATTTCAGTCTTTCGATTATATTTAGAACATTTGCTGTCAATCATGTATCCGTTAGACACCGTTTTGGCAACGCCCCTGTCACTAAGGAAAATTAAAAAAAAAATTAAAAAATAATATTATTTTCCACCAATGATTAATGACACAAGTAAATAAATCGCATAACAACGTTTCTATTGTCGGCGCTCTCCGGGCACGTATACACATTTTTTTTGTTGTCGGGGATGTCGCGCGCGTTCAAATGTAGGTCACTGGGAATTCGAGCTAGACTGCTTGACGCCCCAGGATCAATATCCCGGATTCTGTACCCAGCATCACTGCTACCCAAAACCTCCTCCCACCCACGGCATTACTTACCTGCATTAATCTTCAAGGTCAGCATTAACGGATATGCATTATGTATATAAATTTCCAATTCTTATATGTTTTATATTAAGATTACAATAATTTAAAAGAATTATTACAATTTAAAGAGAGATGAATATTGATTAGGTATATTAAATGAGTTTAAATAAACCCTTATTTTTAAATGAGTTAAAAATTCAAAGCGGGAAAACGAAGGCATATAACAGTACCTAAAGTAGTCAGTAGACAAAATACAAAAAGTGTATCAAAGTATATTTTCAGTTTCTTTGTATAATTTGTTTTCGTTTTATTCCTTTATTGAACTATATAGTGGGTATACCTACTGCTGAAACAGTTCTAAGAATAAGGTACCGATATGGCTATAATAAAATAATATGTATTATTATAATTATTTTTAAGCAGCTGAAGGGAATATGTTATATAGTACAATATTATAAAATCTAAGGGTAAAATATTAGGAGAGTTGTATATAATATGTGATTTTATGCCTTACACTCACGTTACGCAGAGTGTTTGTGTGACAAACTGACAACTATTTTATTAATTAATAGTTTTTATTATCACGTAACTACCTAAAATGTCATCGCTGTTGATGCGTTTTGAATCCAATGTTATAGTATGGGTGTTCAATAATATATTATGCTTTCACACAAGCAAGTCACCAGTAGCACCCCTAACGGCCCTAACATTTCGGATATATGATATGAATCTCATTTTAATTGTAGGTTCTGATTGATGATTTGAATTTAATCGTGTTCTACAAACTTAATATAGCCTTTCTCACATTTTTCTATCGTGTAAAATTCATCAAACAATGAATATTCCAATTTTAAAATTACTATGTGGTGCATGTTTTTTTTTTTACAAAAACTTACGGTGGTCAATTGATAATATTATGTTTACTAAATATTTTATTAATTATTTATTTATTCGGAAATTAATTTAACGAAAAAATAATAAATATCAAATTGAAATATTTAATGTATATAAGAAAATAATAGGGTAAATAGTTGCTACAAATAAGATAAATAATAAATGATTAACAACAATGATGAATTCATAATGATTTATGCATAATAATTTATTTTACATAACCATCATAAATATTATGATACAAAGTATTACAGCACATAAAAAACATTTAAAAAAAAATTTAGATAAAAATGAGATCGTTTTTATTTTGAGACATATTATTTTCTAGTCTTTTAAAGTACCTAAATTAATTATTATTATTTATTTACTTGATTATACATCTATAAGCACATATATATATATATATTTAAGGATTTGAAAACCATGATTCGGGAGTTGGTATTTATGCTCCCGACGCTGACGCATACACAGTGTTTGCGCCAATATTCGATCCCATCATCGAGGACTATCATAAAGGCTTCAAGTCCACGGACACACATCCAGCAAAAAATTGGGGTGATGTGAGCACTCTTGGTGATCTGGATCCAGAAGTAATATTTATTCGTCGACAAACTTAAAGTAAAAATTTAAAACTTTCGTTTTTTATTGACAGTGCAAGTACATAATTTCTACGAGGGTACGTTGTGGCCGTTCACTGGAAGGCTATCCGTTCAATCCGTTGTTGACCGAGCAGCAGTACAAGGAGATAGAGAATCAGGTTTCTAGCACACTCACAGGACTATGCGGCGAATTGAAAGGAGAGTTTTATCCCTTAACTGGCATGTCTAAAGATGTACAGCAGAAGTTGATCGATGACCATTTTCTATTTAAGGAAGGTGACCGATTTTTACAGGTTCGTGCTATTAATTAGGTACTTACATTCAGTCTGATGCAGATACTTAGTTAGCACTTTTGGCCTTTGGGTATATAGGAATATATAGTTAGAGACGTTCACTATTGGATGTAATAAACTTATATTAATAATTGTTATAGTTATTTAAAAAAATTAGATATTTAAAATTTAAAAACATTAAATATTATTAGTTATTACTAGTTATTAAATGCAAATGTTTATCCGTTTATGAATATTATAATATTATACTAGTACGGCTATATAAACGTGCATATAAGGTTGCCTATATTTAACTCCTTTAATACGTCCATTAGTAAACCCCGTCGGTTATAAGTTATTAATAATAACAATAAGACCAAACCCTGAAATACCTAAACGTTTATGTTCATTAATATGAGGATTTGTTTTATACACAATTAAATACAATTTACGGTTATTGTATATCTTAACTAACTGTGAATGATGTTAGACATAATATAATATAAAAGAAAAATCTCGGAAATCAGAAACACATCGGAATGTGTGATTGTAAAACTCAATGTATTCCTGTATTTATTATAATACCATTTACACATTTAAGTTATTTACCAATGTAAAGAAATAATCATTCAGATTAGACAAATATTGGTTCATATTGAGACTCACCATGAGATAATCTTTATTATGTACAAAAATATGATCTATATGCTCTGTCCTTATAGGAACTAAGAGCTGAGGAGGGGTTGAGGTATAATATTTTAGGTAGGTAATATTTTGGTCAACAAAACCTAAATATAAATTATAATATTAATAATGGAAAGTTGGTAGGTACGTTACACTATTTATAACCCCAATATTTTTGTTTTAAATTATAAACCATTTAACTATATTGGATGATAATTTTAGGTAGGTATACATTTTAATATACCGAGAAATCCTAAGAATTATGTAGGTACTGTTGTATAATTACACAAAACGTATTCTAGTATTCATGCAATTTAAAATCAGTAATGTTAGGTAGGGTCAACTATTAAATTATACTTCATTAATATAATATTATTGATTTTATAAATAGGCTGCTAACGCTTCGCGATTCTGGCCGACTGGCCGTGGTATATTCCATAATGAGAACAAAACGTTCCTGGTTTGGTGCAATGAGGAAGATCATTTAAGGCTCATATCAATGCAACAAGGAGGAAACTTGGGAGAGGTTATAATTCATTAAAATATTTAACTACCTATGTAGTTATTAAACGTGACAATTATTGTTGACAGGTGTATACAAGGCTCGTAACAGCGGTAAACGATGTGGAAAAACGACTTCCATTTTCACATCACAACCGTTTGGGATTTTTAACATTTTGTCCAACAAACTTGGGAACAACTATCCGTGCATCAGTTCATATTCAGCTACCTAAATTAGCTGAGGACAAAGCTAAATTGGAAGAAATTGCTGGAAAATATAATTTACAAGTAATCATATTTTTAAACGATTTTATAACATTTTTAAAAATATTTCAATTGGTACATTTTAAGCTGTATTTGCCATTTCATATTTATTCTACGAACTTATTCACACCATAGTTAACCGTATTGACTCAAAAGTTACAACAATGATATATGACATACATTCAATATTATAATAACTAGGTACTAATAATATATTATTAAATGCAATACTTTATCAGAAACAATTAATTCAACCTACTATATTACTAATAATTGTAAAATATATTAGGTAGTGGAGCATAAATACAAATATTTTGATTTTAATATTATTTTCTGTTCTTAAATTATATACTAATTACCTGGTTATGAACAATTGTATTGATTATTTTTAACAAGATTAATAAAATATTTAAATCTATAAGATAAATAATTGTGCATTCAAAATAATATTCAAACGACATTTTATCTTTAGGTTAGAGGTACTCGTGGAGAACATACAGATGCAGAAGGCGGAATCTATGATATTTCAAACAAGAGGAGAATGGGTTTGACTGAATATCAAGCGGTGAAGGAAATGAATGATGGTATAAAAGAGCTCATAAAGATCGAGGAACAGTTGTAAATGTTGATGTTATTACGTCTTACATGCCTCTATAGGTCTTAAATTTCAATAAATCTAATCAAATAAATAAAAATCTAGTTGGATATTGCTTCTTTTTTTACCATCGTTACTTTATTTTGCTAGAGCAAAATATAGTTAACGGGGTTATAAAGCTTGTTAAATAGACATCAATTTAGCTACGTAATACATTTTAATATTATTATTCTATTATACTAATATAAGAATACACGTGAGAGGATAATATTATAATCACAACAACTACCAGATTTTTTTCTATTACCTTTTTGAAATTATCTTAATATACTAAATACCAACTATAAATTTCCTCTTAGCTATTATTTTTTGTGTTATATTAACTTAACGTCTAGAATATCTTAAATGCTAATTCAATTTTAAAGACTTTTAAATATCTTATGCAATATGCAACCTTAAACAAGATTAATTTAAATGTACGTAATTTTAAAGCTCATTCATTTAATATGAAGTATTAGGTATATTTTATAATAATATTATACTGTGTTATTGTATGTTTAGGACGTTTAGGTATTTTAATTGTTAACAAAAATATTGTTGAATAAAGTTGATTGAGTTATTTATATCGTTTGTTAATTATTTAAGGTTATAAATTATTGTCAACTTGACTGTAAAACTATTAAGATATATTTATATACGGAACAATAGGGTGATAAATATAGGTATAAGAGAAAGTAAGAGAAAATAATATGATGGAATACAAAATCAAATAAAATAAAAACAAAAGTTAAATCAAATATTTGATAAATTGAATAATGTACCTAGGTACTATTAAATAAATCTAAATTTGTATTTGAATTGCCTTCAGACATGAGCATATTTGCAGGAGTAGGTGGGTATATAGCATATAGTTTGTGGAAATAGAGAAGAGATAAAATAATGCATTTTTTCTGGAATTAGATTGGTTAGGTAACTCTAAAATTTTAGAGCACAAGAATTTCAGGAAAATCTAAGATTGAAGGAAAGTTTTGAGCCGAAGAAAACGCCAAGATCTTTAATTTTACTATTACGTCTCGAATTTCAGTTATTTATACAGTGTACCTAATCAAAAAATAACGTATTTTTTTATTAATAAAATTAAATAACAGCACATTTATCTATTCAAAGCATATAATTTTCATTACCCCATTGATAAGGGCTGTTTAAGTCACAATGAAGTTTCAATGCACCATCAAGACATTCAACTACCTTGTATATTTTGGTGTCATCCGCAAGTAAGAGACAATTTTATGGATATAAAACATTAATTTGTCCAAAAATATTTTTACATTTTATGGCTTGGATCCGATTGGTTAAGAAGGAGTGAATCCATGAAAGACATGCATCTTAAAACCCATAAGATTTTAGCTTAGTTATTAAAAGATAATGATTAACTGTATCGAAAACTTTTTTAAAGTCTGTATAGACAACGTCAAATTGAATTGCTTATTGAAGAAATTCATAGTTAGTTGTTTAAATATAATTAAGTTAGCTGTCGTTAAATGCCCTGAACGAAAACCACATTGTTCATTTGAAAAAATGTGTTGATATAATGGAACAGTTTGATTATTAAGTAATTTAGAAAATGTCTTTGGGATAATTTTTACCTTAGAAATAGGTCAATAATCGGAAACAAATTATTTATTACCTTTTTGAAAAATTGGTGTTGAAAAAATGAAAATTTCTATTTGTCAGGAAAAATACTTGTTGTTAAAGATTTGTTAAATAAGTATAGGTTATAATAGTTGGTGAAGTAGAAATGAACATACCTTTAAAAATCTTGGAGAGATGCCATCAGGGGCTAGAGCCAGGTGATTGATTTTGATTAATTAATTAGACAAAATAAAGAGTTATCTAATTTACTTTTTTTTTTTGAACTTAAGCCCGTCAACTATGACCATTAGCTGTTTTTTGTTTGTACGTTGTTTGTAGGGGGAGAAACGGTTGGTTAAAACACGTTTGTATGTGTGGGTAAGGATTTGTTGCTAAAAATCCCGGGTGGTCAAAATCCGTGAGCTATAGCAACACCGGCTAATACGTAAGTAGGAACACTCAGAGCGTTTCCGCAGATGAATGTACGGACCGCGCTACACCAAGCCATACCTAATATAGTACCTAATATCTAATTATAAATATTTTTGTTGATTTTAACTTAATAACTGAGTATTGTTAATGTATAACTTGTAATCGCAATATCTAATATTTTTACATTTAATTTGAAAATTAGATAAATGTACCGAATTTGCAATTGTAATGGTTTTGCAAAATACAACCGCTCCGTCAGCTTGCGTCCGCCGTTATCGGTGAACCTGAAACTACCAGTACCTCGGCCATAAGCGGAAATTTGGTGAAATTACTGGGGGGGGGGGGCTGAGCATGAAAATATGCTCATTTCACCTATAGGTACCACTGTACTAGAGCCGGTCTCAATTATTTATTTCAACATGACAATGTACAAAGTTTGACATACTAAATTACTAAACAATTTGACCATAATTAAGTACAACAAAAATGATGTGCCTTTTCTTTAACATTTTAGAAGTATTCTAAACAGAAATTATTAAGTTATTCATTTTTAATTTAGAATTATAACTATAAGATAATGGCGGATTTCAGGGTTCAAATGAAGTCAGCAAGTCCATAAGAGGTGAATCGTTCAAAATGTATAAGTCACATACTCACATAGTTACTCCCATAGCATATTAATACGTAATTTCATCGAAACCGGGACGATGCGCGACGCGACCGGGACGATTGCTGATAAACAACGTATGCGAGTAATCATGGGCGCCAGGTTTTCCAATTTTCATGGGGTGCCTAAAATCCTAAATTATTTAACTTGTACCTAATCAAAAAAAAAAAAAAATCAACAAAGAGTGTTAAATTAAACAAATTAGTTCCTCTTTTATTGACTTTATTTTTCTACATTTTTACAGTGTAAGACAAATAAATTATAATTTATATACAAATTAGCAAGTTAGCAACATTTTCAATATTTATTTCTTCTTGTTTATGTACATTTAATAATGCTACATCATTAAGCCGTGTTTGCGTCATTGTTGACCTTAAAAATGTTTTTAAACGCCGAAGCGCAGAAAAAGAACACTCAGCAGTACACGACGAAACTGGTACGGTTAACATAATTTTAATTAATTTTAGAATTTCTGGTACCAAATCTTGTAAGTACACTTCTTGTTTTAAAAAATCAATTGCGTCTGACACTGATGATATATTAAATTTTTTTGGTTTAGCGACATCTAACATAATATTGCGATGCAATTCTAATTTTGTCCCATTGAAATCAGAGCCATAGTATTCAATTATAATAGATGTGTTTATTTTTTGAGGATCTACTATAAAGTTTTCTACTGTAGCAAGATGTTCAAGTACGTTGCTTTGAAACCTGTTACGCAGAGCAGATAACGTGGTATCAACACATTCAAAAAATAGTGCTTTATACTGTTCTTTAGCTGACATAAAGTAATGTTCCTGTCCCCCTTCGATCAAACGTTTTGGAGTTTTTTTTTGTTTAGATAGCTTGACTTCACCTAAGCCTAGCTCTTCAGATTTATTAATTATAACTTCCTATAATTAGTCAAACCCGGATTTTCGTATTTCTTCTATAGAAATTATGATAGCTTGAATTTTTAATCTTGCATCTTGAAAATGCAAAGATTTTTTTTGCAGTTCCGAATTTAAAACTTCTATTCTCTCAAAAATAAATATCATAATTTTCAACACAAAATAAAAATCAAATTTATAAAGTAGTTTCGAAAATCCACTAGCCTTAGCGCCTATTTCATTTTTTTCCTTGGTCAGCTCATCAAGAAATGTACGAAGTAAATTATAATTTGAATCGATTGATTTTAATGAAACGATTCTAACGCACCATCTTGTAGGACAAAAAGGACTTAATGAAACATTATTTGAAGAACCGATTATACTTTGTTCAGATTGTAAAGAATTAAATATCGCCTATCGTTTAGGTGAATCTTTTACGAATGATATCATTGAACGTAAAACCGCTAAAAAATCTCGAACCTTATTAATATTCTGCATTGTATCTTGCACTACAAGATTTAATGTGTGGGCATTACAATGAACAAAAATTGATCTAGGTTCAACGTCGATTATTCTTCTTTGTAAAGAACGTGCTGACCGAACGCAGACTAATTACTACGGTCTACACTTTAGTGCTCTACAGAGTAGGTAGGTAACTAAATATAATATCGATATCGACTCAGTCGTCGTCGGCGGCAAGACCAAAATAACAAAAAAACCTAAAACATATATTATTTGAAAATTATCATTTCTACATGTATTATAAATGTATAATATTAACGTATTAAATATTTAAATGTTTTATTTATTTCATGGGGTGCTCAAGCACCGCAGCACCCCAATAGTCGGCGCCCATGCGAGTAATATTACTTATTAGCAGTCTTGTAAAGTATTCGAATACAAGTATTTGAATACTTTTTGAAGTATTTATATGGTATTCTAAAAGCATTTTGAAATTAGTATATTCTATACACCATAGCATTTTTCAAATATTTTGACTTATTTTGAGCTGTTTACGGACATTTCAGTTTCCATTTTTTTTTAGTTTTTTTTTTCTATAAATATCAATAAAATTGTATTTGTTGGTTAAAAAAGCTTGACAGTTTAATAGAAGACTCCTAGTATTTTATTTTAAAGGCAGATGAAAATAAATCATCTATAGTCACAATTTTTTTTTATAAGCATTTAATGTTCAAATTTTGACAAAGTTTATCACATTTTAAGTTTAATAATAATTTTTTAGTTAAAAATTAATAAAATGTTCAACTTTTATAGCTAAAGATTGAACATTTAAAACAAGATTCCACGTAAATAGGTAATATTTAAATTACTTTATTCACCTTAATATCATCAAATATTCTTAGTAATATCATAGGCTGACTGACCGTTTTCGCTTAGAATTGTTTTTCTTATACAATGATATTATA